CATTGTAAATGGCGATCAACGTCCTCGTAGCATTCACATTTTATTCGACAAAAAGGACGAATACGCTTAAGTTGTGCACATTCAACTTCCAAATATAAAATATATGTGTTTTCAAAACATGTTTTTTGCGAAGAACCACATTCGCTGTTTTCTATATCAAAATAACCGAGTCTTAGATTTATTTATGAACAAAGCAAAATATCCAAAATACATCACATTGTTAAACATGTTTCAACTATTTGAATTACAGAATTTTGCAAAGTGGTAAAAACTAGTTTCCACAATGAACATATCCACCGTCTTTATTTGGAATATAGTTTGTATGTGTATGTTGACAGACTGAATGTGAAAACATTGCTTTAGTAGGTAAACAGTCAAGAATATATTTTCGGTCAAGGGCTCGTAACAACAAATGACCTTATCTCCGTTAAAATGGCCATGACCATGAATACGATTAACTCTGTAGCCAAATACATACTGATAAACTGTATACTACTTCAATATATTGACATGCTGATTATACCAGTGTGGTGTAGTGAATTGTTTGCATGTACAATAACATTCATATATCACCTTTTGCATGTGGTGTTAAAGTGAAATTCCGTTCCTGAATCTTAAAAAATAACGGAATGTTTGTTTCAGCTGTAAATCGTTTTTAACAAAATATAACTGTGAGCAGATGTATTGTGTTCATGCAAAAGCCAGTATATACCTTATTCGTCGTAACATTTAACAGCAATACATTTGTTGTCAGAATAAATACGATGGATATATATGTATATGCACACTCCAGGATGCAATCATTTACTAATAACAAATACTTTAACTTCGTGATCAATTTGTTTTAATGTGCAAAAAAGTTTTATTCTAATTTTCTACTGAGCCACAAAACACCGTACAATAGAATACCACTGGATGATCACATTATCAGTGCGATTAGAATTAAATGACCTTTCTTTTATCAGATATGGGAATACTTTAGTCATAGCAGTTTCAAAGTTGCGTTCCAAGGCGACGCGGCAAATAATAAATAGTTTTAAAATGTGGGGTCAATGACGATAATAAGATTCCTAAGACGAGATAAATCCTTCTAAGGAGATAAAAAACGATGACGTTGCAATCGAAATGCTTAAAAGGATAGCGTGGCCTGTCTGTAATTCTTCTTGTTCCAGATCTCACAAGTGAAACATGGCACGTATTCTACTGTTAACGCTCTTCTGTCTGGTGTGTTTGAGCACAGGTAAAATATTTTATTTTTTTGTATCCGTACTATACAATGGTTACACTGTTTTTGTATATTCACATTATATATTTATTTCATTATGCTTGTACACCAACATTTGTGCGAATACAAGTGCAACGCTGAGATTTACAACAATATTTCTGATTGATATGCTAAATAACAACTGAAGGAACGTTTATTTATGATAACTACAAATTACTATATATAACACACTTTTTATTTGTAGGTATTGTCGGAGAGAGTGACGATGGCGGTCTATTTGATGACAGTCTATTCGAAAATTTATCTGACAAACCCTTACTCAAAGCCATGATGTTAAAGAATTTGTTCGGTGGATCAATTGGCGGCGATAGCGGACCACCTCCCATGCTCAAAGCTTTGCTTTTGAAGAAGGTGCTTGGCGATGAAGGCGTACCTGCTCCACTTGAGCGTGCATTGTCTGCTAATGCTCCATCACCCATCATCCGTGCTTTGATTGCCAAGCAAGTTATGCAGGTAAGCGTTATATTATAAAAATCGCGGTTTTGTCTCATTGTCTAAAATTTGTCTCATTACTAATATGACAAGCCATTGTGAAACGCCCCCAAAATTGCAGCGCCATTGTATGCGTTATCTTATCTGCCAAGCAGCATTGAACCTGTTTGTTTCGTACTTTGTTCCGCTCAATAAGGTCAAGGAATACGAAATAACGCTAGGTCATCACCATCTCGGATTATTTCCGTTGATATTATATCAGAATCAAAACACACACACTGTTCACTAATTAGATTCTAGTTTAAAAGTTTTACATAAGCGAAATGTGCATTCAATGTATCAACAAGTGAATAATACTCACACAATATGATTTGTTTAACTATGTAACGAAGAATGAAGATGCCATGCTACCTAAAATCATGCTATTCAAGACTTTGGCCACCAATTTAGGAAAGAAACTTGTGAACGAGTGTATGAAAATGATAGATGATAGAAAGGTCTATACCTTTGCTATTCCAATGATATGCGACTGTGCTTTGGAATATACGTAAGTTAAACATCTTAATTATTACAATACAGTGGATAAAGAAGCTACAATGTCACCAAACTCTACGTCTGGCCATTGATACTGGCTGTCATTGTCGTTTATTTAAATACTTAATATTCATTCGTCTTGATTTATTATTTCGACAATTATTAAAAGTTGCTACACTGACTGAAAATCAATACAATCACTTTAAAATAGCATAACAAATACAATTATATATGCAAATCTAGTCAATCTACGTAGAGTAAGATTATGACGAGATCTACGACATAGTACCGAAGACATGTAAAAAGACCACTCTGGGGATTGTACTGTAACTAACAATTGTAATTTGAGAAGGTGGTTCGTAATAATGTATATTGACGCCAACTACGCCTGGAATAGAAGATACCATCATAACATATATAATGCCAGTCATATGCATATGGTGTGTTTAGTGGATCCCAGGATGGTGAAATCTTAGAGTAACTAGTTTTATAAAAAACAAAAAACAAAAAAACAATAACCCATGTGTGTTTTTAGTTTTTAAAATGTCAATATCTATTATTTTATTTATCATAGTACCGATGAAGGTGTAATGGCAGGTTTCCACGTCGACCTCCTCAAAGAAGGTGAGTGCTAATCATATATATATTCATCTTTTGCACTATTTACAGTTTTCACACCATCTGGATATGCTCAAATATAACCAGGTTGCTATATCACACAGTTGTGTATCCTAGTCGACGCATACTGTAGATCAAGTAATTTAGTAAGGTTATTTATTTATATATTTATATTCATATTACAGTGTGCAAAGAAGCAGGAAAGAAGTGTGTAGGCGTTTACGATCCAAGTGAAAAATGTATGGGCCATTCTGGGCGCTATTTTACTGTTGGACATGGTAAGAGTTTATATATTTGTACTATAGTGTTCGTGATGACAACTGTGTAACTGGCGGTAAATTACATCACAGGTCAATACGTACACATTCAAAGCATTGTGTAAATAAATACATATGAACTATTTCTATAATAGGACTCGCTGGAAAAGAATACGACGCATGCTTTGGGTGGTTCAACACTGTTGAACGTCAACAAGTCGTTTCATTCACCGAGTCATACTGGGAAGTTGAGAATAAATATTATCTGTACGTTAAAAGCGGAAATCCCAATGGATTTGATGCAACCAATATTACGAGCAAGACTATAGGTAAGAACAATCACGCTTTATTATTGGCTTTTATCAATAATGGATCATTATTATAAATCCAAATTGATGTAACTGTCTGTTGATCTCTTAATATATTATCTTATCGTACAATAATCTACACTTATAAACTTTATATTATTTACCTGTCTCATAATATGCACTCCTTGTTTGTAGGTTTTGTGACTGCATGGTCTGGCGGCCACCCTTGTCTGTCTGGCATTACTGGAGCTGATTCTATGACTTACGACTATGCAGAAAATTTAGACGCCCTCATTGACAACTTAGAGAACGATAAGGTCAAGTTGTATTTGTTTATTCTGTCACGTGACGTCATCCATTCTTTACATAGAACCGAGGTCGTAAATTCTTACTGACATCTATGGGCTATTAAATAATGAAAATAATTTATCTGTGTTTTAGGTTGATGCTATCTTTGTGCAAAATGAATATTCAAATCCTGCCATTGAGAAGGGCTACGAACGGATTGGGGAGAGTATTGAGTGTGCTGAATCAGGTATTTCACATGGTGTGACCAGGAAAGATAATCCACTTCCATGGTTCAGTGAAACATTAAAGGAAATGAAAGAAAATGGCAAATATTATGGTGTATGTGCTAAGGCAAAACAAGACCACGGTAAGAGTGTGTCCTTGATCATCCAATGTGAACAGACTATACATTATATAATGGGAGGTAGAACCTTTGTTAATGTTTCAACAATGATACGACATTCCGTCAATGACAGTTAATGTTAGTGGAGTTATCATACATCTGTGCCAACAAAATGCAGTGACAAATATTCAAAAGAATATGACGCTATTGCCAATAATATTAACACACGTTACTCCCTTGATTGACATGTTTCTGTGTTTTTATTTGCAGGTCACAAGGGAGATATCAATTGTGTATAAAATGAAAAGAACATAGCTAGATTGGATTGTGTATTAATAATCTTATACGTGCATCAACAATACATCTCGTAATATATGTATAGTATTACTCACTGCGATAAAGTTTTCTTATTGATCAAAGACGAGGGAATACATTATGGCATAAATAAAATGATATGATAAGTATAAACAAAGTAGTTTATCGTATTAATTTGCACTGAACATATTTTGTGATCCATGGTGCTTTAATAACCGTAATGTAATATGCAATAAATATGGCCTATTTTGTTAGGGGCGATGTATTTCAAATCGTATAACTCAAATATACAGTACACATTGTTTATCTACGATACGTGTTAGATGACCTGAGGCCACTATGAACCGGCATTTAAAATTGACGAGACTGGCTCCTGTATTTTGAACAGATTGGAGTCTGTCTAGCTGATCAGATATTGAGGGCATCCATAAAATATAATATTACAGTAGTATAATCTCGACATAACAAATGCATGGACTCACTTCATAGTGGCTGCTTTATCCAATATAGTCCGAATTGTACTAATGCGGTAAAGTACAAAGTAACAAATCTGATTAATATGGTTCCCCAAATCAAAGTTTTAAAAAATCCCTCCAAGATTACGGACTGAGCTAGAAAGATTTATGTCAGACTCACTGATTTTCAATGAGTTCAACATCTCAATGTTCTCTAAACATGTTCGATTTCAGCCAGGCAAGAATATCTTCAATACACATCTCGATGCGATTCATTAAATCAGATGGCTTATTATAATTTACATATAGCTGAGAATCATCGGCATATAGCATACATACAATTAATAACATAACGTGTAAATATGTCTTCAAGGAGGGCCGTGTAAAGTGTAAACAGAATAGGGCCAAGGACGAAAACTTGAGAGACAAATTAGGTGGTAATGATGATGGTAAGAAGTCAAACGAGATAGTGAATGAACGATCTGTGAGATAGAAAATGAACCATTGTAGAACTGTGTCTGTAATACCAAAACTATGTTGAAGACGATGAATTAAAATAGAATGATACAAGTTCTTATCCTTTTTTCCATATGTAAGTAGAAGTGCTTGAATGTGCATTTGATCAACATTGCAGCCTACATTCATTAGAAGTTAATGCCACTCATATATCGTCATTTGTTTTCCTTTAATAAAAAATGTTGCTTTTTAAATCACTAAAAATGTCAATGTAGGTGGGGATATGCCGTTTTATTACAGTATCGTAGCAACCATTTCGGATTTATGCATAATTAGAAAAAATGCCCAAGATTGACATCATATCATTATTCAGATTTCCGAATTCAGTTAGCAAAATGTCAGTACTATCCAAAACAGCTTATGGAAGACTTATGCGTATGTACTCCTGACAAAACGAATAAAAATCTTCAAAATGATTCCAATGCATTGTACTACATATATTATATTACCTCCATATCAAACAAAATAAATAAATATAGTGAATTTACAGTGAATTGCTTTTGCCACTCCATTCTTTAAGGGAATCAAGAGCGACATGTCTCTAATGGAATGAAAATATCGCTTGGCGAATTAAATAATTGAAATATTCTAAGCGGTTTCAATGCCATGTATTACGTATATGCCAGTATATGCCATTTCCCGGTCAAATGTAAATAGATAAAGGCTGTCACAAAAAAAAAAACGGGTTTCGAACGACCAAATACACACGTAACAGTATGTATAGTCGCTAAACCTAAAGGTATCTGTCGTTATATCGCGTATCCAGTGATGGGTCACACGAATATACTGACTTGATATGGTCACCTGATCGCTAAGACCGCTCTCTAATTATATAATGGGACGCTCTCTAATGTAATGAATACGCTTATAAGAAATGTAAAAGTATTTTAAAAATATTTCCTATGCTGTTTTTTGCCCAAATTCAGTTGGACATTCAATAATTTTGTTAATACAGCTAATGTTTTACCACATTTCGTCATAATGTTTATACTCTAACTTTACACGATAACAGTATATTTAGTATCACCGTTTAACCTAATTAAAGCGCCTTTTTGTTCTGTGAGAAAATAAAAATATATTTCACATGCTATATATAATTGATATAGCAATACAATGTTCAATGATCATGTGACTTATTTATAATTAGTCCGCCATCTTTCAAGCCAAGCTCAACAATCTTCATAGATTGGTTTAATTAAAGCCAAGCTTTTAACGATCTTTATAGACTGGTTTAAAACTCTAGATAGCACCTCCTGGGTATCATTTAAGTTTGCGAAAAAAACCCGATATATCACGTGATTCGCCGGCCATATTGAATTGAAGGGCTATTTGATCACTTTCTCAGCGTCGAGGCGAATACTACATTATATATAAAACAGATATAAATGAATTGACACAACTGTATATAGATAACATCACATTTCAGGAATATACTTTAAATACAGAAAAAAATAATAAATGTCTTCACTACTTGGCTTGTTGTGTGGCCTTGTAGAGCGAAATTCCTTTGTCTTGATGTTGCGTACATGGTACCTATAGGGAAATCAGTCGACACTATCGGAATAACGCGTACCACAGGAACGATTTGACACCTAAAGAAAAACTTCGAATGAGAAGAATTATCGTTCTCCCAATTTCAGAAAAAAACAAACAAGAAGCAATGGAAAAATGCATACTTCTACATCAAATGAAAAAGGAGAGAAATCAATGGCTTCTGTATGCAATGCATTATGGAAAAACCGCCTCCAATGATGCAAACCAGGCACATGTGAGGGCGCTATTATATTTCATTTATAAACATTTGAATTATTTTATCTTTAAATTGTTTTATTATATTTCAATTTAGCAACACATAACACAACATCCATATATGTAAAACAAGAATTCTCACACAACATTACAATTAATTAAAGTAAAACCCCAATCCCGAACTGTTTGTATGTGCTGCGAGTCAACGATTCGCCTCCGTGATTCGCCACCGTCTAAATTCATTCACATCAAATTCAGCTTAGTTTTTGTTTTTCGTATTTCTCACAGTTTCAGCCTAAAATTACCCCAGTTTAATGTTGAGAGTGTGATCTACAGTTTTTTTCAAACTTTTTGTTTGAAACAGACAGGGTAATTAAAAAAACAAGCTTACCAAATTTATCAAGTTATTCATTGTGGCAAACTGGACATTGATACACAACAGCGACAGCAATGTCACTAAACTGGACATTGATACACAACAGCGACATCAGTGTCACTAAACAGGACATTAGTACACAACAGTGAAGCAATGTCACTAAACTGGACATTAGTATACAGCAGCGACAGCAGTGTCACTAAACTGGACATTGATACACAACAGCGACATCAGTGTCACTAAACCGGACATTAGTACACAACAGTGACAGCAATGTCACTAAACTGGACATTGGTACACAACAGTGACATCAGTGTCACTAAACTGGACATTAGTACACAACAGTGACAGCAATGTCACTAAACTGGACATTGATACACAACAGCGACATCAGTGTCACTAAACTAGACATTGATACACAACAGCGACATCAGTGTCACTAAACAGGACATTAGTACACAACAGTGACATCAGTTTCACTAAACTGGACATTGATACACAACAGCGACATCAGTGTCACTAAACTGGACATTGGTACACAACAGTGACAGCAGTGTCACTAAACTGGACATTAGTACACAACAGTGACATCAGTGTCACTAAACTGGACATTGATACACAACAGTGGCAGCCATGTCACTAAACTGGACATTAGTACACAACAGCGACAGCAGTGTCACTAAACTAGATA